CGTGTCTTTCACCCCATGTACTCAGCCGTATGCACATCTGTTCACACAGCAGAGCACGTGCTCTGTGCTGTGCTGGGTTTGGGAGACAGACAAGTATGGCACCTTTCCTGCCTTGAAGAAGCAGGGTGTTAATTATAATCAAATTATAGCATCTAATGAAGACATCAAATAAAAATGTTAAGGGATCAAGCAACATATGATTAAAGTGAAAAAGCACTCCACTGAACATTGGTGACACTTTTTCTTTATATTTGCTGCTATGAAGTAACAATCTAAAAAAGTAAAATATACCGACACATACGCTGACTCCGATTTTTACTATAGTTTTGCTGATTAGCCTCCATTCACAAGGACGTGGAAAATCAGCCAATAATAACTGGTTTCGTTAAGCGCTTACGGCATGCCAAGCTCTGTTCTAACACTGTGCGCCATTTGCATTTTACTCACACATCATCACCACCACGAGGTAGGTGCTATGATTTTCTGCCTTTCACAGCTGAGGAAATTGAGGCTCAGGGGGGCTCGGGGAGGAATTCCAGTAAGGAATAAAGTATAAAAAGGTCCACTTAACTCCCAAAGTCAGAGCCATTTCCATTTTATCCCGCAAGCTTCCTTACACTTCTCTCTACTCCCACCGGTTCCTAAGGGCCGGCAAAAGATAGCCATCCTATCCATCTCTCCATGCATCCAACCCCTGCTTTACCCGGTCCCTGACACGTGCAATGCACTGTGCTAGGCCCAGAGGATGCAGTCATAGTCCCTGACCTCAAGGTACCCACAGTCTAGCTGGAGATGTAGAAAGTCATTGAATAAATGAGTCAGTGAATGAACGAATAAACCCATGAATGCTGAAGTTTCCTTTTTATGTTTACGGGAGGCGTCTCCCAGCCTGGACCCATTTGTAGTGCCTGTCTTTTGTGAATTCCAGAATTCATCCTTCTGAGCCCATCTCCAAACTTTTAGCTATTTTTATTACCATACATAAAATATCTGGGACCTACTTTCCACCATCTGCACATTCATTGAACATACTCAACACTCCGTCATTGCACCTCATAACTGAATGTACAAGAAAATCCACCAGATCCAGGAAGTGATTTTGCTGATGATTTATTGCTTTAAGGAGAAAAGCATAAACAGGGAATTTGAGCGATGAAAATCCTTCACATTGAACAAACGTTCCACGCTACACAAATCATGAGAAAAATGAGGAATGTTGTAAAACATGACAGATTGCCCAAGTGCTATTTTTCCTCTATTGGGAAATTCCAAGACATTCCTTCTTTTGTATTTTTTAGTCACTTGGAAAAGTGGCGGTAGGAATACTTAAATATGAAGTCACAGTCTGAAAATAGATATAGACATACGTATATATATACACACCTACACACACACGTATGTGTATGTGCAGAGATACACAGGTGACCATTCTGACCGTTCATGAGTCCCAGCTGTGCAGGCTTATTGCAGTTACTTACTTTGGATCAAGATAAGTCTTTTAAAAAGCAGTGACCTAATTCGATGTAATAGTCAGGGGCTACATTGCTTCCCCATTATCTCTAACACAGTACAATGTTAATGAGATTATATCAGATGGATCATATCATTCAAATCTACTTTCTTTGCTCACTCTCTGAATCACTTTGAAATCAACATTGTAATTATTGTCCTGGTGTCAGCAAAGCATCTCTTGTGCCTTTTGAATTGGGGGGCGTGCTAACTGGGCTTAGTGTCAGGAAAGATGGCTCAGGTGTCAGATGGACCCTGGTTTGCAATCCTGGTCCACAGTTCACTAACTGGTAAGACACTGAGCAAATAACTTAACCTCTATGAGCCCCAGTGTCTTAGCTCTAAAACAGGGAAATGATTATAATGCCATATCTCATAGGTTTGCTATGAGGATTAAATAAGGTATAGCCGTGAAGCACCTAGCCCGGGCCTAGCACTCGGGGGTCCTCCCCAAATGCTGAGGATAAAGGTTTAGCAAGAAGCGGTGGTTTGGTGAATGCAGGTTTCCTCTCTCTTCCCACCTGAGCATACCAGAGAAATTCACTTGAAGCACTAATGTGAGTTTCTTCACCGAAGGTTAACAAATCCTTAGCGTATCTTTCCCTCGTCCTGCAACATGGAGTTACAGAGGACTGGAGAGACCATCTATCTCATCTACTGGATGCCCTGCCAATGAGACACTCGGAGGCCTGGAGGTCTCCCCGGGAGCAAGGTCAAGTGGAATAAACAGGGATTTGGGCTCCAACTTGTTTTGGCCAATTTCTCAGCCTCTTTGAGTCTCAAATTTTTCATGTATAAAATGGGGATAAGAGGCTTGCTCACAATTGTAGTGATAATTAGTAAGATAATTTAAAAGCTAGCAAAGTGAGTGGCACCACATAAGCTTTCAATAAAGGGACATTTTTGCATTGTGATTATTATCCTTAACTTTCACTGAAGTAGGTCACACCAGGGCAGAGTGATTATGGCTGCTAGAAAGATCTTCCTTAATTTGGTCCCAAACTTCCTTCCCCATGACTTCAAAACATGGAGCTGAGACCTCCCCTGCATAGGACAGGTCTGTTTCTCAAATTCCAACTGGGGCCACTCTGGCCCACTCAGTCCCAGGATAATCCCAGATTCCTCCAACCTGGCTTCTTAGACTCTTGGAAGCCACGCTCATTTTCCCAAATTGAGAGGCAAACTCATTAAGAACCTAGCTCTTGGGTTTCTGCTGAATTTCAAATGTGGTTAGCTGTCATCCGGTCCTCTTAATTTATAGATTTCACTTTGAGGAAATCCAACACAGATCCACACAAGGGCTTTTTGGAGAACCTATTCGTGGGGTGAATGCTCTTCACACAAGAATTCTTTTTTTTTTTTCAATAAAAATATACATTTCTTTAAATATTAAATGTCTCTTTCCCTATGATACTTAAAATAAGATTTGGCTGATGAAAATTAGATTGGCACATGCCTTTGGAAGAAGAGAGCCTCTGAGTAAAAGTAGGAAAACATACATAGGTTCTTTTATTCATCAAATACGTGTTGAGCACCGCTGCAGGCCTTGTACTGGGCCAAGCAAGTGGGAGGTCACAGTCAGGAGGGCACCTTCCCGGTCCTTTTGTCCTGCTACAGAATTCCTCTGTACACCACACAGAATTCCCTGGGGAATAGCCCACACATCCCTCATCTGCAGCATTGGGTAAACAAAATCGTCTTTTAAATGCACGATGAGAGCTAGTTCTGATTTGAGGGAGGGGGTATCGGTAGGGGATTCGTGGGTTTTTGTCTAGCTAGCCCATATATTTTTGGATGCTCAGGCACCTAAATTATCAGAAAGTCAGATACTCTTCTCTTGGGAAAGGAGCCAGAGAGACAGTAAAAAGAGCGAAAAACGAGAGCGTGAAGTCGGTGATGCGGACATATTTTCCTACTCGACACGTCTGGAAGCTCTAAACGTAGGGCCAGCAACATGGGTTAGAAAGTCAGCCGGACTTGGATTAGAATCCCCGCTCCTCTACTCACCAGCCGGGCGACTTTGGTCAAGGCTCATACCTCTCTGAGCTTCCGTTTCACATTTGTAAGAATAGAAATAATAATGCGCACTTTTCAGCATGATTGCAAAGCTTCTCCATGAGCTAACACACATATAGCACTGAGAACTATGTTTAGTACACAAAAGGGACTAAATAAAAGAATTATAACAGTAAATATTTATATTCTACTAATAAGATAAATAATAGCCTCATTTCCACTCACAACAACTTTGTGTTCCTTTTAAGCTCCAACCCCTTTTTTTGCTTTTAATTCTGGTTAAACATATTTCTGTTTCTAAACAACTGGTAAGCCTCTATTTTCACACCAGAACTGGGTTGTTTGGGTCAACAGACCCGAAGTCTCTGGAAAGGGTCCTTGTGGCAGAAAGAGAGGTGTCCTGTGCCCAGTATGTGACCTGACCCTGCTGCCCTAGGCTGATGCCGAGTGGATCCACTTCTTGGTTTGACCCACATACAGCTTGCAACCATGTCAGTTATTTCAAGTGGGTCTGGCCCAGACATCAGCTGGGTCTCCCAGGGCTCTGCAAGAGCAGAGGAATGTCCCGGGATGCCACTCCCAGGGGTCATGGAGGCCATCCTAAGGGCTCCACCAGCTCCCACGAGCCCTCAAGCAGGGAGAGGGTCTAGATGCGTGGCAGAGTTGGCCAACTGCCCAGCGTCCTGTGGGTCAGCAACAGATTCATGCTAGTCCGTCACCTCTTCTGAAAATTGGCTGACCCTGCTCTGACCCTGCAGTATTGACCGGAGACTTTTCCCATGAATAAGAATGAAAGTTATCAAATTGCATTTCTGCCCTGAACGAGCCCAGTTTGTACCCTTCGTAGGGCAGGGCTGAAGAGAGACTTAACCTCCACAAAGCCGGGGTTAATGAACACAATTTTCCTTTAAAAATCAAAACCAAACCCCAACCATTCACCTCACTTGGCAAATATTTGGTGACCTTAGGGTGCACAAATCTCCAGAATCAGAGCTACTTGCGTGTGCTATGGTCAGAACTGTCTATTAGAGTGCCCCTTAGCAGGGCCCAGATGATAGACCGTTCCAGTGTCCTAAATCCCATCTGAATGGACCCAGAGAGTCTTGTGGCTTGGCATCGAGAATGGGAATGAGTGATATTAAACGCCTAGCTGATTCTGCTCCTCGGGACGCCGGCAAGATCCAGCAAGACTTCCAGTGACTTGGACAGGCTTGGGTTTTGTCCAGAATCACTGGAGATGGGCACTTTCTCTGGAGTGTATGCAGCATGCTGCCAAGGAGGGGACTCATACTCTGGGCCCGAGCAGCACCATAATGGGTCATTTGGGTGGCTGGAGAATGGACAGGGGGCCAAGGATCTGGATCAGGAGAGTTAGAAGTCAGTGGGAAGTGGACAAAGAAGGCTCAACTGTGGTCCTCAGAGAGTTGGCTTTGCAAACATTGGGCCGGGCCCCGAGCCCCATGTTTTGTGCCTGCCTAATTGACGATTTCTGAGAAGTCAGGGTAGGATTCTAAGTCAGCAAAGATATCGTTGGGATTCCTACAACTCAGGTTGCAGAAACAGGCATTAATCCATAGGACCTGGCGGGAGAAGCCAGGCCCGTCGGGACATTGGAAGGAGACATCGATGGTCTTGGACTTGTAGGGGATGCAGCACCTGCTGTCCATGCAGACCCCACAGTACTTCGGCCGGTAGGAGCGTGTGCTGTTGCAGCCGGCGAGGGTGAAGTTCATGGGTGCCTCTGGCTGGTACACAGCCAAACACTTCTTCCCTTCCTGCAGGAAAGGAGGTTTCAGTTGGGATGCTCAGAGCATGAACAGCCACCTTCCTCCCTCCAAGCCTTCAATTCTCCCTTTGCACTCAGCACGCGGGACCACTCCACCTTTCCTTCAGGTTTGTGGCATCTTCAAGCTGGGAAGGACCTCCCCAAGCACAGCAAGACACAGCCACATTACGCAGGACTAACTTCGGACCTCCCAAGGCACTGTGTTGCAGAGGTGTTCCTCGCAACCTGCAATGTCCTCTTGCCTACATTTCTGCCTCGCCAATGCCCAGAACCCCGTCACAGTTGTACCAACACAGGAAGCCCTTGTTGCTTCTTCAGTCCACCCAGCGTCACGGCTAGTGAGCAGCAGAGCCATCACGGGGCTCCACGATTGGGGCATGTGCTTTCCCCTAACCTGTCCTTCCTCCACACACCCCCGCCCAGCCTCACACACCCTCCTCGCATAACTTGTCCAACCAGAATGTGTTCTGTAGAGCCAGTTCTGTCTCTCCACTGGGATGTGCGCCAGTCAAGAGGAGGGCCCTTTCTGTGACTCTACAGGCTAAGTCTGTGCCTGGTGCACAGTAGGTACTCACTAAGCTCACTGCAGGAATGCCTCTACTATGTTCCGGCATCATGCCAGAACTCGGGGTAGAGCAGAGCCAGGCTCCGTGGGGTTTGAGGCTTATATAGTTCAAGGAGCCATCTGAGGCTCATAATTACAAAACCAAAATTGGGTGCGAAGCATGAGCCAACAGCGAGGACTTGAGGTGGCGCTGGGGTAGAGCACCCTCTACCTCAAGTGCCCTGGGCATTCACCCAGCTTAGGACCTTTGCCCCTGTTTCTCCTGCTGCCGGTCGCTTTTCTGTCCATGCTCTCAGGGAAGCCACATCTTCTGAGTACCTACTGTGCACCGAGCACCAAGAATACGCAGGCCAGCATGGCCGCGGTCACTGATCAGAGAGAGAAGAGAAGACGAAGGACGAGGCGGCAGGATCGGGCTGGCCAGCACAGAGATCGCTGGAGTAGGAGCAGGGGGCAGCAAGTGAGGAGGATTCGTGCGAAGCTGAGCTGCCTTGTCTCCCAGGCACCCCTCTCCTCAGCACCCCCAAGAAACCATCAGTACTCCAAAAATGGAGTCAGTGCTGAGTTTTTCTTTTTCTTTTTCTTTTTTTCTTTTCCATGCAAGGCAGATGACCAGTCCTAAGATAGAAGCCAGGAGGCCTTGAGAGAGGCAAATCAGACCCATTTCTCGCTGCTGTCACCTACTCTGTCCCGGATCCTTTGTTTTACTGATCTTAGACTCTCCAAGCTGGAGGAGATGTCTGAGACCAACCCCAGCTTTACCCATGAGGGGCCTGGGGCTCCGAGATGCGGAGAGCGGCCACCGTCCTGTGCAGCGCGCAGGAGACGGGCACGTGACCCCCATTGTCCTGAGCCCTGTTTCGAGCTCCCCGACTGCCCAGCGCGGCTGTCATGCCCGGGCTGGTCCCCGCGCGCTGGGACAGGAGCAGAGGGGGAGTGGCGGCCAGCGAGGGTCACCTCCGAGTCCCCACCCGAGAGCACTTGTTCCCATTTCACAAAGGGCCCCCACGAGGAAGTTCAGGGGCCAGGCTTGAAGCGGGACCTGCCTGTTTGGAAGTCTGACGCGCCTCCCCCCACCCCGCCCCCCCAACCCCCCCGGAAGGTGGACGGACCTTGATGTGTGGACGCACGTCCACGTCACAGGGCCGCAGGTTGCAGAGGCGGCTCTCTTGCTTGGGCCAGCAGTGGCTGTTGGCGTTGGAGATGCGCGTGGAGACCCCCAGGCCGCAGGTGGTGGAGCAGGGACTCCAGGGGCTTGTGTAGGCCAGGCAGTTCCCGTGCCACGGCTCCATCTCACCTGTGGCCGCTGAGGACAGGGACCAGACTCCCCGTGAGCGTCCTGCCGCCATCAGCACACACAGGGTCAGGGATCCTAAAGCTCCCGGGGGAGGGGTGTGGGCTGTCTCCCCCACCCCCAAAAGGGCAGGTCAGCTTCTAACCAGCATGGGTCCCCAGGGAGAGGAGGACCTGTTTTGAGCTCTTATACTTCTCCGGTGGAATGACCATCTTTACAGAGAGGCGGACCAGAGTACAAATCCTGCTCGACTACCTATAAGCTGTGTGGCTCCAGATAACTCCCTCTGGGCCTCAGTGTCCTTACTGGAAAAAAACATCTGCCTTCCACCGCTGGTGTGACAATGAAAGGACCTGTTTATTCAGTATATATCGGGCTATAAGCTGTGTGGCTCCAGATAACTCCCTCTGGGCCTCAGTGTCCTTACTGGAATAAAACATCTGCCTTCCACGGCTGGTGTGACAATGAAAGGACCTGTTTATTGAGTATATATCGGGCATCTGCAAGGTGCTGGGATTTGAAGAATGAAAGATACTGTCCCTGCCCCTACAGAGGTCAAGTTTATTTGGAGAAATCAGAGGGAGTGTCTATACCCTAGTGCCTGATATCTCATCTGGGTGATGCTGAGGGCACAATGGGTAGGGACACATACTCTTCAGAGCCGCATTGCCTGGGTTCAACTCTGAGCACAAGCACTTAGTAGCTGGGCAACTTCCGATAGCCCTCACCTCCATGCCTCAGTGTCCCCACCTGCAAGGGGGGCGTTGATAATCTCATCTCCCTCCCAAGGCTGTGGACTAAAAAGATGGGTTCATGCATATGAAAGCCGGAAAGCCAGCCCTGGCTCAGTAAACGGGAGCTTTCGTGGTTTCTTGACTGACAACTGAACGCCAAGTCTTGGATGGTTCTGTTAATGTATGCATCCCAGCATCAAGTGCTCAAGTATTCTCTGAGTAATGGAAAAATGGATGGAGCTACAGACAGAGGCAGGTAAAAAGCCAGAAGACAAAGGAGAGATCCCACAGAAAGATGGCACAAGATACACAAGACAAGAATCTGAAGAGGTCGCCAGTCCAGCCCGGACACAAACATGCGCACAGGCAGGCGGGCACTCACAGGAAGCCGAGAAGGGGACAGGCAGAGGGGGGAGGAGGAAAGACAGATGGTAGGGCAGGCGAAGAGGGGGAGGGGGGAGAGGGAAGGGGAGGGAGAGAGCCTGATTTGGAGGGGAGAACGGGAGGGGGAGGAAAGGAATAGCAGATTGGGGGAGGGGCAGAGAGGAGGAAAGGGAAAAGTAGGAAAGAAGAGACACCTAATGGGATCAGAAGGAGGGAGGAAGGAGAAGGGGCAGGCAGGAGCAGTGCTGGATGCCCAGCCCCTCCAAGTTCACAGGTGTGCAGGGAACAGGGCTGGACAAGGCAGGAATGAATGTGTGAGAGAGGGAAGCTTTGAGAGACGGAAGAAAACCAGGAGAAGCATCTGAGGGCAGAGGAGAATGGGGCTGGGATGAGCCAGGGGTATGAGCGTGGAGGAGGGAGGCAGAGGGAAGGGTTTGCCTAGGAGGATAAAAGGGCTTTGGCCCACGAGGAGGCAGGGGCCCTGCTTGTACTGGGTCAGAACGGGGTCACCGGGCCACATACCGTGGGCAGACAGCCACTGCCCCGCCCCTGTGACCCTCGTGTAGCTCTGCCCATTAGAGGCCGTGGCGGGCCTGCTAGGGACCGAGCTTCCTCTGCCACTTCCTCTATGGACACCGGACGGCTTCTTCATGGGGCTGGCTCTGCCCCTGGGAACCACCCCGAGCCCCTCCGGAGAGGCGGGGAGGGGCAGGACCGCCCTCCTCCCTGGCCCAGGCAGAGCCACTGAGGGCACACAGCCTGGGGGCGGGTCTCCATCGCCCAAGCGTTCCAGGGTGTTCTCTGAAACACCTTCTTCACTTCTGCAAAACCTCTTTCTCCTGGTTCTGTCCTGCCTCTTGGATTCGTCTTTCTCAGCTCTTTTCTCTCCCTCACCTTAAATGGTGGTGTCTCCAGGGCCACAATTGTGGTTCTCCCCCAGACGATTGGGTCCCCCAGGGTACAAACGGCAACATCTGGAGGTATTCGGGGTTGTTGCTACTTGGGGGGGGGCAGGGGCTCCTGGCATCTAATAGGTAGAGGCCAGGCGTGCCGCTAAGCATCCCACAATGCACAGGGCAGCCCTCCCCACAAAGTCTTCTCTGGTTCGAGATGTTGTCTGTACCAAGGCTGAGACACGCTGCTCGGCGCAGCCTCCCTGGGCAATCTCACGCACTTGTAATTTAAAAAAAAAATTACCAGTACCCTTAGAACTCTGCTGGGCGATGCCAGGGCAGGGCCCCCAGCCTCAAACTCAAGCTGTTTCAAACAGTGCAGTTCTTCACTCCCGGTGTGCTCCTCTCATTTTCTCTCCCAGGTCATGATGAGCCCGGAGAGTCGCTGTCTACCCTTCTCTCTTCTTCACTCCATGCAGTGGATTGATGCCATGGCCTCAGTCTTACTCCTCATGCAGCGCCACTCACATCTGTCCCTTCCTTGCCACCTCCACTTCCACTGCCCTAGCTCAGATCCTCATTGGCCCAACCATCCATCC